TTGAAGAATTCTGTTCTTTTTCTCCTTTTTGAATATTATTCTGCTCCATCACTATCTTACTTGTAGCAGTTATGTGAATTCAGCATTGATGTTAAGTTGAAGTCTTTTATTTGCCAAGAATAAGAACAATATTATCTTGGTTTATGCTGCCGAATTTGCAATTAATGTCGACTTCTTTGGACTCTTGGACGGAAAGCACTCCAGCCTGCTGGGTGGGTTTGCACATTTTTTATTTTGTCTCTGCGGTTGGTTCGACTGCACAATCAGCAGCCCTGGAAGAAAAATTAGAATAGAAGATATTCCAGGCAGCCACCAGGACTCTAAGGATCAAACCGTCTAATCGTGCTCATGGCTGGTCTCCATGATGAGGTAGATGATCACAAAAGCTTCCCGTCATCAGTGCTGCCCATGCCGGCACTGCAGCGCGAGGAGATGAAAAGCACTACTAGCAGTAGGGACAAATGCTAGGCAATGTCTCAGCTTTTCAGCTAAATGCTGAAAAGTCTCTCATTTCTAGAATATTTTACTAACAGTGAAATCCGTGTCTTAATCCTGACGCATGGCGTGCTCCGCGTGAGAAAGGAGAAAAAAAAAATAATTAAAATGAAGAGATTAGCTGCCTGTGAACAACTGACTTAGGAGCACAAACACGATCAATAAGTGACACCGACAAAAGTTCTCAGAAGTCCTCAGGATTACAAACGGGATGTTGGATGTTGCTCGGAAGCAAAATGTAATTGTAATTATTTCACCTAGTCTCCTGAGAGAATAAGGAACATCAACCTTCCTGATGGAAGTACACAAATGATGCAGAAAAGAATCCTAGGAGAACGAGCAATGAGAACGAGTGGGCAAGATAGGCTCGAGAACTGTCCCAGCTCACTGGACGTCAGCCGATTTTCTTGAATTCCATCATGACACAGCCAGAATCCCACGGCCTTAATAAGGGGAAGTTATCCTGGCAGATGGTTTCAGTTCTAGGAGACTGCAGAATTTGGATACCTAGATTTTGCTGTCATTTCAGTAAATTGCATTGGAAATTGAGGAGAAAAGAAGTTATACTTACTTTGCATTTTCATAGAGATTCATTAATGCACAGGGCTCAGATCACTGTTTCAACATAAAAGGAACATTTACATTTTCTGACCCCGAAGCAGCAAGGGTTGATTTTATAATTAAATTTGTATTCATTTGTTTTCCTGCACTCTGTTGCTTTTCTAAGTACGTCACAGGGCAAAAGGGACTAATGATGGATAATTGAAATGCATGCTTGTGAAGACTGCCAGCACTGTCATTTTACACACAGTAACATTTCATACAGCAAATGCAGCTGAGTGCTGTTCCTTTCCAGTACTAATACAAAACAACAATGAAAAAAACCCCCTCCTTCTCTATGGCCATGCTTCTTTTTGCTGCACAGTCCTAATCTGTATAGGGAAAAATTATATTAAATATTTTTAATTAATACCCCACAGAATGAGTAAAGGTTTCTTTCAGCATAGTGGAGGATGCAGAAGAAGATCCGTTCTGCTGACAGTCCTGAACAGAAGCTCCCACACAAAGTAAAGATTTACATGACTGCCGTGCTTTAACCCGGCAGGCAGCTGAACACCACGCAGCCGCTCGCTCACGCAGCCCCTCCCCAGTGGGATGGGGGAGAGAATTGGGGAAAAAAGGGAAAACTCGTGGGTTGAGATAAAGACAATTTAATAGGACAGAAAAGGAAGGGAAAATAATCACGATAAAAGAATACAGGAAACAAGTGATGCACGACACAATTGCTCACCACCTCTGACTGATGCCCAGCCAGTTCCCAAGTAGCGGCCATGCCCCTCCCAGCCAACTCCCCAAGTTTTTTGTTTAGCATGACATCATATGATCTGGAATAGCCCTGGGGCCAGCTGGGGTCAGCTGTCCCGGCTGTGCCCCCTCCCAGCTTCTTGTGCCCCCCCAGCTTCCTCGCTGGCAGGGCAGTATGAAAACCTGCAAAGTCCTTGACTCAGTGCGAGCACTGCTCAGCAACACCCAAACCATCAGGGTGTTGCCAACATTCTTCTCATGCTAAATCCAAACCACAGCGCTATGCCAGCTGCTAGGAAAAAAATTAACTCTACCCCAGCCAAAACCAGGACAATGACAGAGCACCAAAATCTTCAACAACTACAGCGAAGCACAGGAAAAACGGAAGGAAAACAAGTTCCCCGATGTAGAAGGCACTGCCAGTTCTGGATTGAGACAGCTGATCACCACCTGCCTTGGGCTACGTACCTTGGCTGTGCAATGCGCACAGGGCAATACAAAAGCAGCGCACTCTTTCTGCCTGTGAATGAGATAGCAGGACTTTGGATTTATGGCACGCAAGAAAGCAAGCGCCTGCACCCGCTACTCCCCCAGCTCCTTAGCAGGGGGACAGCGAGTGGGAAGAGCCTTTGCTCTGATCACAAAGTCCCAGCCAGCCGAGCTGGCACAGAGCAGGGTAGTAATTTTTGTTCTTGCTACTCACAGCAAATTGCTACCTCTCCCAAGAGCAAAGCAGGAGGCCATTGTGCCCCTACGTTTCCATTCCTGACCTGCTTGGATTGTACGCTAGTATGTGGCCGTTCACCTGGCTTGTGACAAACTTCTCAGTCACCTGAACTGAAAACTCCTCTACAAAAACCTCAAAACTGCAGTAACAGGATTTGATGTTCACTTGGAAAGAAAAGCAGGTTTCTCTTTTGTCCCCTCCAGTGATGTTTGCCCCCCCTTCACGGTGATGTTTTTGCCATAGCGACTGCTTGTGTCATACTTGGTAAAATCCATTTTTAAGCATGAAAAATCGAAATCCCAGGATAGATACACAAACAGAAGTGCCCAGGGAATTTACCATTTCTTTATTTTTTCCTAAATCCTTATTCTGAACTGATGCTGAGTTGCATCATCCCCCATTAACAGAGGAGATGAGGGTTCTCTTAGGAGGAAGGCACATACACGCTCTTACATTGCATACTGCTGTTGAACACAGTCAAAGGTGTAAGCACTTACTTTTTGGGCCTTAGATCTGCATCTTGTACGAGTCTCTGACATTAATGCTACCTACATGCTGGTGGCTGTCCTTCAGCTGCAGTTCCGTTGCAGCAATTTGCTGCAAAAGAGAAAGAAAGAAAGAGCTTAAACCACACGTGAATAGCGACGGCCCCAGCCAGACACCAAGGCCTCGAGGACGCTCCCCTTGGTGCAAGCTGCTAGCAATAATGATTTCCAGGAGGTTTACCCTCGCTGCTGCCGAGCAGTACCCACACAATCTGAACTTCCCCTTACTATGAATATCGCTAAGTACCATAATCGGGTCCGCTAGAATGACCCCTAGTTGCAGTTTTTGACATCTCAAAAGTGAGAATACTTAAAGGCAGCTTCCGCATTTCCCTATTTTTTTCCCATGGAGGTGAAATGAGCAGTAAACGGCTGTGTCGTTATTATTGTATCGATGGATAGCTCAGGAATTATTTTCGGGGAACACAGACCTATCTGCATTCATGTCACGTAGGTGTTTTTCTCAGGAAATGTCAACCGTAACAGGTACTGGCCACACATCCTGCATAACCCCAATGCCATACCTGTTAAATTAGGTTAGGGTTAGGGGTTAAGGTTAGGGTTAGGGTAAGGGGTTAGGGATTAGGGTAAGGGGTTAGGGATTAGGGTAAGGGGTTAGGG